AAGGGCTAACTTTATTTCGAGTTCGAGCAAGCACTCACTCGATTACTAAACCCAAGGGCTACCTGAGTTCGAGCAAATTCTCACTCGGGGACTATCTATAAAGCCTAAGGGCTAACTTTATTTCGAGTTCGAGCAAGCACTCGCTCAACTACTAAGACCAAGGGCTACCCGAGTTCGAGCAAATTCTCACTCGGGGACTATCTATAAAGCCTACGGGCTAACTTTTTTTCGAGTTCGAGCAAGCACTCACTCGACTACTAAGCCCAAGGGCTACTCGAGTTCGAGCAAATTATTACTCGGGGACTATCTATAAAGCCTAAGGGCTAACTTTATTTCGAGTTCGAGCAAGCACTCGCTCGACTACTAAGCCCAAGGGCTACCCGAGTTTGAGCAAATTCTCACTCGAGGACTATCTATAAAGCCTAAGGGCTAACTTTATTTCTAGTTCGAGCAAGCACTAACTCGACTACTAAGCCCAAGGGCTACCCGAGTTCAAGAAAATTCTCACTCGGGGACTATCTATAGAAGCCTAAGGGCTAACTTTACTTCGAGTTCGAGCAAATCCTCACTCGACTATAAAGCCTAAGGGCTATTTTTCATTTCAAGTTCGAGTATTTACCCACTCAACCATCAAATCCAAGGGCTACCTTACCTCATCGACTGTTTGGCCTAAGAGCTACTCAAACTCAAGTTCAAACGGCCATTCGGGGTCCATTGATCAGAAACGGTCAAGGGCAGTACTTATTGCCAGTCATTACCATCTCAGAACTCTGGATATTCAAAGGGAATTTTATGCTAAGACGCTCTGACCCGTACAAAAGGGTAATAGATTCAGAAGCCATGGAAGGAAAAAAGCTTTGTATAAACCTATTAACTAGGGCTATGGGTCACGAGCAAGAGTTCCTCACAAGGGACGATGAGGCTCAAAAGCGAAAAATTACGAAGAACACGAAACCTAAGTAGCGCGATCCTTATCGGCAGAAGTGTCTTCACCCACAGAATCTTTTCCACCGCCGGACTCGCTAGAGTTCTCGAAGTCGTCCTCGGGAAGGGCCAGCTTCCAAGCTTTTGTTTCCTCAGTCGCTTACGTCACGATGATGATGTCGTAACAAATCGGGGTAAAGATGAAGCACTCAATTCGTTTCTTGTCGTTATACTCCAAAAAACGAGGGGACTATCTGTATACGGTAGAAATCGGGGCTACCCATTTCATGGACTCAAGGGTTACTTCAGAAGAGAAATCGAAATAGACCATGAGTGAGCTCAATGGGAGGCTTCGAAGATCAAAGTACTCGATGGACACCGAGGCCAAGTATGACCGACCTCGAGATAATACCGTTATGATCCCATAACAGAAAGAGAATGATTCCCTGGGATCACGGCGTAAAATCCGGAACGAATCCGTACTAGGCGGCTAGACAGTTGTCCCGATATGATTCCTTACTGTAAATAGAAATGTACCTTATTTAGGGTTCCCCCCATTATATAAAGGGGACCCCAATCATTAGTAAGGATCATCTAATCTTTCGCAAAAGAATATACTATCCTACTTTTCTCTCTTACTGTTCGTCGGAAGCGTTCCTTACATTTATTGGTCTTACTTTATTGCTTTTAGTTCATCTCGAGGTCACTAAGCTCGAGGCCACCACTACTGACTAGCATTGGTTTGATTTACTTATTTCTTTCATTTCTACTTCATATTTCTTGAATATTAATTGGTATTGAATTTAATCACATATCTTTAAAATCACAGATCAAATTTAATTGTTACTCGTATTTTCGAGGTAAACAACTGCCAAAAAAAACAATATAACTTACTCCTCTGTTCTGTTTGCTCCTAAGTCTTGATCGAGTAATTCTTTCAAAAAAATAATAATAAAAACGGAGATTTAGAGAGGAATGAACTAATGGAAGTTCAGTTAGAGATTATTTATTACTGTAGTATGTTTTTGGTTAAAGAAGATAAACCTATTGGATTTATTACATGTATTTCGGAGTATTTCAGTTGTTAATTATTAATATTTTGTCTTTAATTTGTTTAAATATGGATAATTTTTTAGTTAATATCGGCTTGGCTAGCAAGTGGATGTTAGGCTTCATCACAGCCCATGGTTGTAATTCCGGATCGTGACAATAATTTGAATATCGATTTATTTTTGGAGAAAAACATTTTTGGATTTTTCCCCCTCTCTCCTCTCTCTCTATTGAAATCAAACTCTGCTAATCATTTTCCTCTTTCGATTGCTGCGACGATTTTGGTTTGGCGTTAGCACTTGAGCAACAGCAGTTGGTGAGATAGATACAAAATTCAGAAAAAAATAGTATAGTACAAAATTTCACCGATCTCCTTCTCCGGCGAAATCCACTTCTCCGGCGAAACAGTATAGTGCAATTGAATTTGTCGTTGTTTTTATTTCTTAAACTTAAACTTTTCACTGATTTAATATCAATTTAAATTCAGTTTCTTTATTGTGCTGCACATTCTTACTTCGTTCTTCAAGACTTCGATCCCATTTTCTTCAAGCACTGGTTAACTCTTTCTCCGATCTCCTTCTCCGGCGAAATACACTTCTCTGGTGAATTTTGCAATTGAATTTGTCATTGTTTTTATTTCTTAAACTTAAATTTTCACTGATTTCATATCAATTTAAATTCAGTTTCTTTATTGTGTCGATTTTTGCAATTGGATTTCTCCGTCAATTAAACTTCTCCGTCACTGTCGTGCTGCTGCGAGTCGCGTCGAGAGTCACCACAGATTGCCATTCCATCAGCGATCTGTTCAACCACCAAACTTCCGACAACTTTCCGATTTCTAGGTTCTATCCCTCCATTTTTAGTTGCAGTTTTTTTAGTCGGTTTGTTCTTTCTTGCGTCAGTTTTGGTTACTTGTTATTTACTTGTTCCGGACACCGTTACCTCGTTGAGTTTTGATATTTCTTAGCATATTTTCTTTATTGTTAGCATATTTTTTCTTAGCATTTTAGTTGAAGTTTTTTGTCGGTTTGTTCTTTGTTGCCTCAGTTTTTGTACGCGTTATTTACTTGCTCCGGACACCGTTAGGCGTTAACTCGTTGAGTTTTCATATTCCTTAGCATATTTTCTTTATTGGTAGCATATTTTTTCTTTCACAGAAGTTTTTTACAAAAAAAGAAAAAGAAAAAAAGAGAATAGAAGGAAAAGGAAGAAAGGATAATACTGTTAGCATATTTGTTTTACTAGTTCATTTAACTTTTTCCAATCTTAAAACTAGCATATCTTATTTTCGATTTTCATATTCTTAGTATATTCTCCTATGTTCTAGCCTACTGTTGGTTGAGTGATAGTGATTAAATAGTACCCTTAGTCTATAGTGGCTTTGGTTTACGATGTGAGAGTAAAGTCATGTCCTCGGGTGGGGCGGGAGGTGGGGTGCAAGGGTGGGAAGGGGGACAAGGTCGCTTCTAGGCTGAGAGTTGGGTCCTGGAACATAGGGACGTTGACGGGTAAGTCTATAGAGTTGGGTAGGATTCTTCAAAGAAGGAGGATCAACATAACGTGTGTCCAGGAGACCAGGTGGAAGGGTACTAAGGCATGTGATGTTAACGGGTATAAACTGTGGTACTCTGTAAATGTTGGGGGCAAGAATGGGGTCGGTATATTAGTCGACAGGGATCTTCGGGAGCTAGTTGTCGAGGTTAGGAGGGTAAGCGATAGGGTGATGGCGGTTAAGCTTGTGGTTGGGGGGCTCACTTTGAATGTGATTAGTGCTTATGCTCCTCAAATAGGTTTGGCCGAGGAGGTCAAGAGGCAATTCTAGGAGGACTTGGATGAGGTGGTGCGTCATATTCCGTGCACCGAGATGGTTTTCATTGGAGGGGATTTCAATGGTCATATCGGGGTTAATGCCGGTAGGGGTAGGCATAATACCGACCGAACCGAAAAAACTGGCCGAACTGTGAATTTCGAATTTTCGGTTTCGGTTTAATCGGTTTTTCGGTCGGTGCACGATTTTAAAATTATTAATTTTCGGTTTTTCGGTGTAGTTTACGGTTTTTGTATTTCGGTTTTCGGTTAAACCGAAAAACCAAATTTTTTGTATTACCCATCTTATGATGATATGATCTATTTTTGGACTAGTTTGCCAGTGCTGAACTGTTTAAGTGTTCTGTTTGCACGTTCTCTGTGTGCTTGTTCTCTATAGTCTATTATTGGTTTCATTTGTAGTGTAGTTAACTTTATATGTGTTATTGTCTGCTGAGCTTACTTCTCTGCCCTGATTCACATTAAGTGAAAGAAAGAAAAATTACCAGGGCAACCATAAATACTGATTTAATAATAACACTTGCATAGAATAAGTATGGTTTCACCGCATCAATATCTATTGAAAGCCCACACTGCCATTAACATTCAACAACTGAAGCTCGAAGTCGCTCAAAGAATAAGCACGGATGATGTCCTTAATGCAAAGCTCAGGCGCCAATGTTCTCAATCACAGCACCTTTGTCCCTCCTCTTCACAATAGCGGCAATAACCTTTGATGTTCCTACAAACTGTAAATACTTCGCTGTTCCTACAACCGCTTGAAACCGAAAATATAAACCGAAAATAACCGAATCGAACTTTGAAAAAACCGCACCGAATCGTAAATACTTTGGTTTGATTTGGTTATTAATATTACAAAATCGAAAATCGATAAATCGAACCGTACTTTTATATTAACCGACCGAATCGACTGATGCCCACCCCTAAATGCCGGGGGTTACGATGATGTGCATGGAGGGTTCGGTTTTGGAGATAGGAACGAGGCAGGTACTTCGCTATTAGATTTCGCTAGAGCTTTTGATTTGGTGGTAGTTAACTCGAGTTTTCCGAAGAGAGAGGAGCACCTGGTCACTTTCCGGAGTACGATGGCCAGGACCCAGATAGACTATCTTCTCTGTAGAAAATGTGATAGAGGTCTTTGCATGGATTGCAAGGTCATCCCCAGTGAGTGTCTCACGACCCAATATAGACTCCTAGTTATGGATTTGGGGATCAGGAGGAATAGAAAGAAGAGAGCAGTGTGCAGTCAACCTAGAGTCAAGTGGGGAAACTTGACTAAGGACAAAGCCCAAGAGTTAGGGGAGAGGTTACTGGCGATGGGGGCCTGGAAGAGTAGTGGGGACACGACTGCGATGTGGGCCATGACAGCGAACTGCATTAGGGAAGCTGCAAGAGAGGTTTTAGGGGTTACAAAGGGATACCCTGGGAGACGTATAGGGGATTGGTGGTGGAATACGGAGGTCCAAGGTAAAGTTGAAGTTAAGAAAATAACTTATTTGAAACTAGTGGAGAGCACGAATGAGGAGGAGAAGAGGATGCATTGGGAATGTTATCAGAAGGCAAAGAAAGAGGCGAAGTTAGCGGTTACGACGACTAAGACTGCGGCCTTTGGACGCATGTATGCGGAGCTTGGGAGTACGATGATTACTTTGTACAAGAATAAGGGTGACATCCAAAACTGCAATAACTATAGGGGTATCAAGCTGCTGAGTCATACTATGAAGATTTGGGAGAGGGTGGTGGAAGTCAGAGTGAGGAAGAATGTGTCTATTTTCGAGAATCAGTTTGGATTTATGCCATGGCGATCGACTACGGAAGCTATTCATCTGGTGAGGAGATTGGTAGAGAAGTACATGGAGAGAAAGAAGGACCTACACATGGTGTTTATAGACCTAGAAAAGGCGTACGATAAAGTTCCGAGGGAGGTTCTGTGGAGATGTTTGGAGGTTAGCAGCGTTCCGGTAGCTTACACTAGGGTAAACAAGGACATGTATGATGGTGCTAAGACTCGGGAAAGGACAATGGGAGGAGACTCAGATCACTTCCCGGTTGTGATGGGGTTGCACCAGCGATCGGCTCTCAGCCCGTTCTTATTTGCTCTAGCAATGGATGTGCTAACGCGACACATTCAAGGGGAGGTGCCATGGTGCATGTTATTTGCCGATGACATAGTGTTGATTGATGAGACGAGGAGCGGGGTCAATGTGAGGCTGGAGGTCTGGAGGCAGACTCTAGAGTCTAAGGGTTTCAAGTTGAGTAAGAGCAAAACGGAATACTTGGAGTGTAAGTTCAGTGACGAGACTCATGAGGCGGATGTGGATGTGAAGCTTGATACTCAAGTCATCCCGATGAGGGGTAGTTTCAAGTATCTCGGGTCTATAATCCAGGGTAACGGGGAGATTGATGATAAGGCCTCCCACCGTATCGGTGCGAGGTGGATGAAATGGAGGCTCGCATCTGGTGTTTTGTGTGATAAGAAGGTGCCACCAAGACTCAAGGGTAAGTTTTACAGAGTGGTGGTTAGACCTACTATGTTGTATGGGGCTGAGTGTTGGCCAGTCAAGAACTCCCATGTTCAGAGGATGAAAGTAGCAGAAATGAGGATGCTGAGATGGATGTGTGGGCATATCGGGAGAGATAAGATTAGGAACGAAGTTATTCAGGATAAAGTGGGAGTGGCTCCCGTGGAGGACAAGATGAGGGAGTTGAGATTGAGATGGTTCGAGCACGTGCAGAGGAGGAGTACGGATGCCCTTGTTAGGAGGTGTGAGAGGCTGGCCGTGGCGGGTCTGAGAAGGGGTAGAGGACGGCCGAAGAAGTATTGGGGAGAGGTGATTAGGCAAGATATGGCGCTATTTCAGCTCACTGAGGACATGATCCAGGATAGAAGGGTGTGGAGGTCGAAGATTAGGGTAGTTGGCTAGTAGGTAGTCAAGAGTTCCTCGTTCTTTTCTTAGTAGTATTAGTAGCTCCCTTGTTTTTTTTCGTTCGCTCTGTATATTGTATGTTCCAGTTTGCTATTGTTTGAGGCTATTCTCAGTTATTGGTTTCGTTGTTGTTGTTGTTGTTGTTGTTGTTGTTGTTGTTGTTGTTGTGTTTCTCCCCTTTTCCTTATCGTCCTTCGTCCCTCTATTTTTTTTCTTTCTTCTTCCTCTTTCTCCTTCATCTTCTTCCTTTCTCTATTTTTACCTTTTCTTGAGCCGAGGGTCTATTGGGAACAGTCTCTCTACCTCACCAGGTAGGGGTAAGGTCTGCGTATACACTACCCTCCCCAGACCCCACTTGTGGGATTATACTGGGTATGTTGTTGTTGTTGTTGATTTATTTTAGTAAAGTTGGGTTAAATCCGACGAGTATAGATCATGATTTTTACACCTTTAAGATGGGTGATTTTTCATGAAAAAGATCTCGTGTTCTTTACTTTATTTCACACTTTATTACAATAAACACATAAAGAATCAAGTTTATACAATGGATAATACATAATTACTCCATTAGGGTAGTAGCACATTACCATATGCACCCTTTATCTTTGTGGGGGTCCTATGACCCCCTTCTCATTGCTTGAAAAGAAATAAGTTCCCCCTTCTGAGCTTATGTGGCACCTACAACATTTTGCACATGGGTGGTGGCGACAGCGGCTATGGCTAGGAGAAGAAGAAAACAAAAAAATAAAAGAAAAGAAAAGAAAAAAGAAAGAAAGAAAGGGAAAAAAAAAAGACAAAATAAAAAATAATAAAGAACAAAAAAAAAAGTAATTATGTGGTAAAAAGTGATTGGTGCGTGTTGTATACTAATATTCTTGAAACTGGTACTAGTCACAAAAGGGGGAACTTAATTCATTTCAAGCAATGATGGAGGGTCATTGGACCCCCGCAAAGTTTGAGAGTGCAACTTGTAACTTGGGACACCACAATGGGTAATTATGTATTATCCGCAGGTCCATTACTCTCCTTTGAAGGTAAACACGTTTGAAGGCAAGTCTTGATATCCGGGATCGCACATCAAAAGCGAAAGCAAAGTTTCAAAGTCTATCATGGAAGCGGTCTGTACTGATAGTGATACCTCCCTTTTTTTTTTCCTCGAAAAAGGTAGAAACGAACATTTTGCACCTCATATGTATTATGTTTTAACTTGCATCCTTTTGTTTTACAATGCCCTCCCTAATGTAAGCAATATTTCTTGATTTCACTATATCTTTTGACTTTTTCCTAATTTGCTACCAAATGTATCACTACGTTTTATTTTGCTCCTTGTCCTTTTTAATGAATTATAAAAACACTTCATTTAAAGGGACAGAATGGACTACTATACACATCAAAAGCAACATAGCAACTATCAGAAAGTATAGCAAAAATAACACCACTCTTTCAATGACTTGTAGAACGAGAATTATGTTAAAATTTCAGTGTTTAACGTGATTGTTGTAACGATGGAGGCAGAACTGTGAATTTTGATGAATTTCTGCTAACTGTGAGTTTTTAATAAGGATTTGGAGAACCAAAAAAGGTTTTCACATGTGCATGTGATTAGAATAGAGAAAGTTGATTAAGTTATTAAGGTGAAGGAGAAGAAGGAATTTTTAGGAGATTGCAAAAATTTGATACGACCCAATTCACTTCAACCCCTCTTGTATCGTGTAGATGCATAAAAGAAAACTCTTCTTCTTCCTTCTTCCCTCTCTACAGGCAATGCCAGCAGATCCCAATAAAAGTTTGCATGCAAAACAATATATAACCAGATATATTATTTTGCATTCATCTTGCTTATGAAAACATGTAATGCCAATTTTAAGATGAAGGAGAAAAAGAAGAAGAATTAGGAGTAAAAGTATCAAAATAACCTAACCTTTTCTTAAGATGAGTATCAACTTTTTATGGACCAGATTGCAATTTAACTTATTTAATGTAATATTTGGAATTTCACTGAAAAAAGCCCTGAGGAAGACCCAATTGGATGGGTTGGAAAAATACTTGTCGATAGCAAAAATCGACCGATTTCTATGGGTCAATTGAACTCTAAACTCGACAAAAATAAGAGATAGAAATACCGATGTCTATACCGTGGCAGGTGTCACGGAGGCGTTTTTGGTTAGCCCAAAGTCACACCCGCGCGGTAGTCAAGTTTCGCACTTGACTCAACCTTCCTTAACACTTAGCCAATTTTCAGCAAGTTTGGCTTAAACGAAATTTAGGCAACAATCAGAAATTTAAGAACACAAAGCAACTACGGGAAAATTTCCAACCTTTGCATTAATTTAGAAAATATACAAAGGACCCTCACTTGCTATGAACACAGTCCGCTCACAGCACTTTTGGCAAGAACACAAGTCGTTCTTGGCCAACACTAAGACCTGCCCTATGCCAAGCCTTAGCCCCTTTGAAACACTTTGAAACCCTCACGTTTCACTCTTGTTTCCCACTTATAATTTCACACGAAATTACTACACTCTTCTTCCTAAGTCCAAAGGCCCTATTTATAGAACATAGGCAGCCCTTAAACTTGACATCACATGAAACTTGTCGTTTACAGCTTTTGCCACTTGTCGGGCTAAGTTTAAATCTTGTTCCTAACATGTAGTTGACATCCCCAACTACTTAGGACATGATATACACGAAATGGATAATGGATACAAGCATAATCAGTCATGGGAGGTTATGGGTACAAGTGGTTATAAAACTGTAACCGCCAACTACTTTGGCATGTGCCTTGCATGTGTCTTTTGACTTGGTCAGCTATGCTTCACGTCCAAGGCTTGCTTTGTGCCAAGCCTTAGCTCATTTTGACATTGCTCCGCACCAATGTCTCACCCGCAACCTGCTGCCATGATTTTGCCGCACACGCCCGGCGCCGCTTGCCGCCCGCACACCGCCTTGGCCTAGTTTCTGCCTTGCCCATGTCAAACTTTGTTTCCCTCGTGCCATTGCTTGTATTTTCCTTCACATAGCCTTGCCTTAGCTATTGAAAGCCTTTGCCATCATCCTGCCTTCCCGCTTTGCCTTAGCTTAGCCCGCACATAGCTGCCACAACCCAAAAGTTTCATGCCTCCGACTTTGGCGCTTATGCCGCCCTAACATTGCCCATGCTGCCTCATCAAGCCTTTGCCAAGCGCACCTTGCCTGTCCCAAGGCCTTGGCTAATACTTGCCCACAACAGCCCTCAATGCCAATGTCATGTCCGTCGCCCGCATGATCGTTTTGCCCGCACATAGGCCATTGACAAGGCCATCACGCCCAAATCCTTGCCACAACCGTGCCACGCCCGATGACAAAGAGTTAGGGTCTAACAGCAGGATACTATTCTACCACAGGACTATTAGTGCTTGTTGGTTTAAAACTTTTATTGCTTATCTTTTATTTTTATATATAATCTTTAATATCATTTTGCATGAAAAAATAAATTACCAACCGAAATATTTCAAATGAAATTTAGTTAAATAACTGTGAGGTCTTAGTCATTTAACTATCTTTTATTCTAAACAGATAGTAGTTCCCAATATTAGGAGCCAAATTGTTGCTTTACAAGGTTGACTTGCCTTCATGAGAAATTTGAGAATATGTGGCAATGTAAAGTGGCTGACACTAGTGACAACGAAACCAAGTTCTTTTTTCCAATATCACAATGAACCAAGTTTAAACCATTTTTTTTCTTTTCTATAATCATGGTGTCGGAGCTAATTGGACGCATTTCGATTATTCTATTGAGTATCTAACTATCTATCACCCTTTATTAGGCATCGGAAATTATTATCCATCACTTAAGCAAATTGTAAGAAATCACCTAGCTACCAGTATCTTTGCTTTGCTGAGATAAAAAATATCAATTTTTAACCTACTTAAAAAAAAAGGTAGCCCGGTATATAAAGTATGGAAATTTTCATAATTACTTATGGATTTATAAAATATTTCATAATTCAAAAGTAAATAATTTCCTGTATTATGGTGCAATTTGATTGGTTTCGTAAAAAAATTTAGAAAATATATTTTCAAAAAGCTGACCAAAAGTAGCAAGTATTGTCGGTCGATTTTCTTTCCATCAGAAAAATACATTTTTTTTTTGTAGTGTCTCTTCATGTTTAATTTTAAACCACATAAAAAGAACATAAGCTTCTTACCTTACATTACAAACACACTGCCATTTTAACAGAAGAATAATTTATTCTTATCGCTATGATCTTATTCCAATACATGCATTCCTTAACACTGATATAAATGCTTTAACTGATTAAACCTCAGTCACCAAAACTAACTCATTGAAGGCAATGGAAAAATGCAAATTAAATAAATAGAGAGGAAGATGACTCGTGAGCAACTTTAATCACTTGTTTTCCAATGTTGCAACCACTAAAAATCCCCACAAGTGCAACAGGGCCATTATCAAGACCTTCAGCTATGTCCTCAATATATTTCATTTTTCCTTCTCTGATAAGAGGCAATACGGTTTCTAACAACAAATTCTTAATCCCTTCAGGATTTTCAAGATTGTATTAGGAGATCATTCCACACACAGCAATTCCACCAAAATTTCTCATGTTTAAAAGCACAACATCCAGCATCTTTCCCCCAACATTTTCGAAGTAGATATCAATCCCTTCAGGAAAGTATCTGTGACAATTAATAATACGAAAAATGGTCAAAATTGTTCTTGTACTATATAAAATAAAACAATTTTACTCTGCACTAAAACTTGGTATCAAAATTGCGGTCGCTTATGCCCTTTTCGCATTTTTTCAGAATTGTTAATCTTAATCCTATTTAAAATGCTACATGTCCTAATCACCCTAACCCGCCCCCCCCCCCCCCTTACTTTTCTTCTTACTTTTATACCTTACTAGAGGTGGCAAAATGGTTAAAAAAAAACAGTTATCCATCCATATTATCCATCAAAAAATGGGTTGGATAATGAACCATTTAAAAACAGGTTGAATATGGATAAAGAACCATATTATCCACTTAGAAAATGGTTAACCAAATGGATAACCAATGGATAACTAATGTGTTTAACTTTTACATTTGTAAAGCCTCATAT